TAATTACTTGGTATCTATATTCTATTGGGATAAAATTTCTAGAACCTTCCAGACCCTGAACAAAATAGACCTAAAAATTGATTGAATATTCGGATTGAAAATAAAAAATCTACAACTGCAAACCTTATTTTATTTTATCATCATGAATCAGGTTTCAAATATTAAAAAAAAAAAATTTTTTGAACTCCAATTATTCATATTGCCTTAAATGTTTCAAATTTTGTACTTTTTTGGCATATTTGAAACAAGTATAGATATATAAAGACCCTTTTCAATATAAAATAACACATTGTTGTCATTAAACCATGATTAATATAAATAATTAATTTATTACTTTGTTTAACAAAAAACTAAAAAACTATTTTTATATTTACTTAATTTTTGTTTAATAAAGTAAAACTATTTAATCTAAAATTTAAAACTCCCATGTGTCCAACCATTTCAGTTTGTACATACTTGAATTAGCTTCATTACCAGGAGGTCCGCTCATTCCATAAGTTAATGGAGAAAACAATATAAAACTATAAATAATCGAAGAAATTATAATTCCTAGGATTGTATGGTAAAAAGTGGAAGATAGCTTTTCCCCGAATAGTCTTGGAATTTCATCAAGCAAATAATCCAAAACTACACCTAAAAATAACAAATAACTGTTTTCTTTCTTTCAAATTTATTAATCGATACCCACCTGTTAACATGGAACTGAACAAAAGTGCTGGGAAATAATGATGAAAATATAAAACCCTTCCCATACCCCAAAATGGAACATAAAGTAATAACCAGGCGATGAAAAACCAAGCCCCAGTGACCAGTTTTTGTTTGTGATAATCTGAATAAATATTAACAACTTTAGAATTAATGAAATAACTAATTATAAGTACATTATAAAGATCTTAGAAGCTATTTTTCTATTATCGAACCTATTCTAAACTTGTTGTTCAAAAATAAAAATGAGAGTAAATGCTGTAAAAATGGCGAAAAATGTTCAACTTTATATAGTGATATCTCAGTCACCATTTATCGTACGGAGAAAATAACAAACAAACATCTTTCTTTTTTTAGTGTATTACTTAAAAAAAGACAAAAATGTGATTTTTTCTAAATTTTTAGCTTTGGTTTTCGATTACTTTTGGCACTAAAGATGAGTAAAATTATTTAAAATACGAATCTATTTTATTTTAAAATTTAATATTCTGCAATAATGTATCTTGTAAAAATTCTGAATTTTGCTTTGTTTTGATTATTTTACAAGAACTGAAAAGGAGCAATTTTGGCGGGCTCTCAAAACCGCACCTCTTAATTTAGTAGCACATTGTCATTTTAGCATTTTAAGCGACAAACTAACATTAAATCATAAAAGCCTTCAACGCAATTGTTCCTTTATGTAATTAACTAACTTAACTAAGTATAGTGTAAATTGGGCGACTGCCTGTCTAATAAAAAGCTGAATAAATTAATAATTAATCATTATTAGATAATTAGTAACGATCTCATTCTTACCAGAAAACGACTTAATGTATCCTCTTTTAAGTTTGACACAATTAAATGTAAAAATTAAGACGAAAAGTAACAAGAATGCCAAATTCATCCACCAAATTATGGGATTACCCAATAAATACACTCTGTACTGTGATCCAGAAAAAAATAGTCCCTGAAAATGATTTTACTTATTTCACAAATATATTACATTAACTTCATTTTTAAACTAACCCTGTAATTAATAGGCCATTGCCAGGGCTTCGAAGTGACTTCACCTTCTTTCGGTTTTAAACCCGCATTTCCTTGAAACATTACTGCATGGGATTCTAGGAACCTCTCCCAAAAATTTGGAGCGTATACTTTAAAACTGACATTAGGCACTAAGATATAAAAAAAAATATAATATAAACTGATCAAAAATGTTTGGGCGTTAATTTACGTTTTTCGAAGTAATTTTCTTCCACATTCCAAATAGAGTTTGAATCTCTAAGATTAGAAGTGCAGGTCACTTCGTGCTGTTCATAGGCCCATTTCGGTAGCTGCTTCCCAGTCGTCGTTAAAGCACAAAGTTGAAGATAATGTACGAATCTTAATTTACTGCTAACTGTTGCCACTTCTGTGCCCTCAGTAGCATCTAATACAGAGATGCGCCAGACGTCGTTAGCATCTCCAGTACCGTTCTGAAAGTAAATCAATACTTAAATAACCCTTCTTGTAGAAATATTTTTTAAAAAAAACAAGTGTAAAATTAAACTTACTTCTCCATATCCAGTTACTTGATAATGTTTTGGTGTGATCGGTGCTGGTTCCTTATGGGAATGAAGATTTCTTTTTGTAGCTACATGTTCTAAGCGAACTAAATCACCGCTCTTTACAATTTCAACCCCCTTTATTTCGTTAGTGTCGTATTTTTTTATTAACCACTTGTTATTGTCATCCTTATGAGTGTAGGTTGTTATCTTCATATTCATAAAAATTTAATAACACTTGATAAAATTATGATTATCAATAAAAGAAAAAATACCTGTTGTTGACGAGACCCGACACCCTCGGGATATAAATGATAATGTGAATGGAGGTAGCCTCCCCCTGTTTTGTGATTTTTCAAAGTTATCACTGCTCCATAAGCAACATTCCTAGGCATGCTTGCGTTATGAAGACTATTACCGATGAGTTGTGACTGAAATGCAGAACTGTAAAAACCATCCCCATTTCCACTGAAACAAAGTATATTTATTTTATGTTAAACATCAAAAAGTTACAGATCATACCTGCGATTGAGAACAGTTAGATGAATGTAGAAAAATAATACATACAAGCATATGGGCCAAACAATTAAACAGACACTTCTTGCAAGGAAATGTTTAACAGTATCGATCTAGAAAAAATAAATTAGACCTTAATTTAACTATGGGGTCATTTAAACAAAACCTTCTTTTTTTTTATTTTTGAACACTTTGGTANAACTCATCTGGGTATATCAAATCTGAAAATTTGAGATTCAGACATTTGAAAAATATTTCTTGTCCCGCATTTGTATAAAAATAAAATACGCGTATTATTTTTTAGTCTTAATTTATGAAAGCTCTTTTCCAATTTACCTACGCCTAGTAGTAATAGGTATTAACAGAAACTTAAACAAAAAATTAATTAAAAAAGAACGAGAGAGCGTAAAAATAAAAATTTATCACCATCTGTGATAGTTGCTGGTAAACATTGCTTTCCTACAGTTTAGTAGGTACAAACGTATCTTTATCAGGTAGTAAAATAATAATTCCAGTTGCCATTAATATATGCCACAAACTATGTAGATACTTATAGTTGTTTCTCGTTTGCAAAAAGGCAAACGTTATAAGACCTACAGTGACTACAACTATTCCGACAGGAAAATTTCTTTTCAAATACCTCTTGCTCGGAAAAACGTGGTCTAATTGTTTATACTTAACAAACCAACTAACAAAAATGATAAAAATCCCAGCTAGAGCAGGAAATGCGAATAACCACACGGACATCTTGTTATAGGTGGTGCCAAATGCCAGTAAAATAGCACCTAACATGTGCAATATGGACATAAGGGGCTCCGAAAGGTACGCCATAGCTATTAACGTGACCCAAAAGGACAACAGAGCACAGAAGAAGTCGGAAAATTGCAGCACATTCAAACGTATTAGACAGTAACTGATTATGTTTTCACCAGCATCACAGGCATGATAAAAAGTAGAAGACAGGCAAAGCAGTGTATAGGTGAGTGATTCGATATAGTAGTGTCTTTTAATTGCTAAATAAACAGCTGGCACAAACATAAGGTTACTCAAAGTTAGCAAAACCATCTCTACTACAATTGCAGAATAAGGATTGGCTTGAGAATTATCAGAACATTCCCACCCTAAAAGAGGAATGTTAAAACGTTTACAAAGCTTTACAGAAGAAAATTTAATGACTACTTACCTCTGTAATTATTCGTGCAAAAGCAAGAAGTCACCACAAATCCCTCAGAAATCGAAAAGACACACTTTCCATTGTCTCCACATGTCCCATCAACACAGGAAAATGATGCCACCTCGAATACTATACTTGTATTACAATTTATGTTATTTCTTTTACATCCCCCAATGCAGTCACATCCCCTGCATTCATCTTCCTCAATAACCGACTGTCTGCACGTGTTGGTGCAGTTATTACATTGCTCTGGCTCACAATTTTCTTCACAGACCTGCATACAAGTTTCATGTTTGTGTTGACAATGATTAGAACAATTACAAGACTCGCATGAACCGCAAAATAAACGAATGGAGATGAACCAAGTCCCTGGTTCTGGATACGGTATCATTACGGAGGCGTTTTCAACTGTTTTGTTTACAAAAATTGGTGACGGTTGAGATATGTTATTGAAAAAACAATTGTTAGGCCAAAGGGGTAATTCGCGAACTCCTTTACGTATGCATGCGACTACTTGATTATTCTCAGGATCTGTTTCTACAATTCTTTTACCATTAACATATTTAGCTCTTGGTTTAACAGCCAAATGAAATTGAGCAGTGCCTCCGCTATCGGTACTATCTTGAATAACAAATTTAAGAACAGTAAATTTATCATTTGTCGCGTTTATGTACAGAGGAATTTTCCCGTTTTTCTTTGGTCTTAAATCATACCCATACACGAAATTATCAGAGTTTCGCTCTCTCACCAAATCATACTCGTTGTATGACATAATATTGGAAATATTTCCATCTCTATGCAATCTAAAAACAGGATCCGGCACGTACGTATCAAAATTTGAATTATTCAAATTTAATGTTATGTTTTCATTAATTAACTCTGGTAACAAGAAAAATTTCAATCTGAATGTAAAAAATCCTCCGTTAATTAATGAAAACGTTTTTTGCGTGAATTGGAATCTTAAATAGTACCAGGCATTTTCTGGAGTCCAAATGTTAATGCTATAATTTTGTCTCGAAAAATTTGCTACTGGTATATCTAGGCTTTTAATTGACTTAAACATAGACGGTACATTATGTGGCTGAATTCGAACGTTAAAAAAGTCACAGTCTTTACATGAAACACTGTCTACAATCGTGAGAAATACGTGATCAACTTTCTCTGGCGCAAAAAACTTAAAAACAGCATAGCTTTTTGAAGATAAAGTCACTTCCATGTCCACATCTTTTGTAACTATTTCCACATCCTCCACGGTTGAAATGTAAAGTGTTATGACTAAATATACTTTACATTTTGGTACCAAACCTGTGAATAAAACCATGGTCTTTTTTATTTTTTATTATACTTGTTATATTTGTTACCTTCTTGATTGATACCATCATACCGAGGATCAGTATATGCCAAAAAAGTTGATATAAAGTACATCCCAGGTGTTGGTGATGTTAAATTTATGTATTGGGCAGGACTTTGCGATGTAAAATTAATATAAAAAGGCTGAGGTCGAGAAAGATTGTAAAATGTAGAAGGAAACTTTGAGCCATCAGGATTTATCACAGGAGGGGAACCGTGTTTAAAATATAAGTCAACATTCTCAGCTTTACAAGCTAAAAAATTGACCTTAATGCTTTAGCTATATTATAATAGAAGATAGCTTACGAAATATTGTTTGTCTTCTTTCTTCAACTTCTATTTTTAGTGAAGCAAATAAGACATCTGATGGTATTTGAAAGTGCAATAGTGTACTATCCAAATATGTTGTATATTTGCTTAAATGTGAGGTATGTGATCTGGTAATAAACTTCAATATTTCTTTTGAGCTTACAGAGAAGAGGAGGAATGAATGTATTGTCCACTGTAAAATCATCTGAAAAATGCATAGTATTTATTACTTTAATTTTATATTTGTTACTCTTAAAACTACTGGAATGAACATTCCTGCACACATTTTTACAGAATTACTTTGAACTAAACGATAGTAAAAAGTTACCTCAACATATAACAGCAAGATACATTAAACTTAGATAAAATATTACAAATCCGAATTCTTAATAGAACTAAGCAAATTAAGAAATGACTTCACTTTTATTTTCTAGATGTATTATTAAACTAGTTTCAGTTTAATTTATAAAGCAATTACTCAGTACTTAAAGTTAATCCAAAAATTACCTTGTCCTTAATAGATTAGTTTCAGTAGGTGTAAACCAAGTACATTTTACATGCATACAAATAAGTTGGATTTGTTTAGTTCCTTTGCCATTTTTATTGTTTGTTTTACTTATCTAATCATTATTTACTTTTTAAAAATTTAATTACATTATTACCAGATTACGTTTGATCTTATTACAGGTTATCAAGTTATCGTGACGACCATTATTGACCACTATTTTCAGTTTTATTTATAGTTTATAGCATGTTTATAGTGGTATATACCAAGTTTATCTTTAGAGCATATATATCTATAGTAGATGGAGCGTATATTTTCATATGACAGAGAATAATAGAATATTCAAACGTATTAGACAGTAACTGATTATGTTTTCACCAGCATCACAGGCATGATAAAAAGTAGAAGACAGGCAAAGCAGTGTATAGGTGAGTGATTCGATATAGTAGTGTCTTTTAATTGCTAAATAAACAGCTGGCACAAACATAAGGTTACTCAAAGTTAGCAAAACCATCTCTACTACAATTGCAGAATAAGGATTGGCTTGAGAATTATCAGAACATTCCCACCCTAAAAGAGGAATGTTAAAACGTTTACAAAGCTTTACAGAAGAAAATTTAATGACTACTTACCTCTGTAATTATTCGTGCAAAAGCAAGAAGTCACCACAAATCCCTCAGAAATCGAAAAGACACACTTTCCATTGTCTCCACATGTCCCATCAACACAGGAAAATGATGCCACCTCGAATACTAT